ATCAGGTTTCCAAGTGAATAAAACTAGGAAGTTAACCCAAGGCCACAGTTGTCCAGAGAAAAGAAAAGCTATTATTAACTCTTTACTCACAACAAATAGGGAGATTCAGTTTAGAATGGCACTGAGCTAAACATCTATTAATATATTTCAATGAATCTAAGATGCCAATGATTCTAAGACATCATTAATTTTTGCACTGCCAAGAAACAACAAATGCTGCTAATTATATACGGTGCACCACTGATTGTAAAACACATCCCCATTACTGAGATATAGAAATGGGGGGAAACACACTTTTTAGAATCAATGAAATACAGAATAACCCTTCTCCCAATTTTTCACTAAAATATTTAAGATATACAACCCTGGGGCTGGCCCGGTGGTGCAGTGGTTAAGTGTGCACCTTCCACTTCTCAGCGGCCCGGGGTTCACCGGTTCGGATCCCTGGTGTGGACGTGGCACTGCTTGGCAAAAGCCATGCTGTGGTAGGTGTCCCACGTATAAAATAGAGGAAGATGGGCACGGATGTTAGCTCAGGGCCAGGCTTCCTCAGCAAAAAGAGGAGGACTGGCAGTAGTTAGCTCAGGGCTAATCTTCCTCAAAAGAAAAAAAAAAAAGATATACAACCCTATTTTCCATCTTGGAGAAACAGTCTGCTCCAAAAGAAACCAGATGCCTACTAAAAACTTTCTGAGATGTCTAAGGTTGTATTCTCTCACTGAATACCTCTCGTTTTTCATCTATTCTAAAAAGACAATTCCCAATATCAACATAACTGATGGGGCAAAGCCCTCTCCATCCTGGATGTTGAATTAGCTTGTGTGACTGATTAAATCATCAAAAAGCCCAAAGGGCCTTTACAACCTGGAGACTTTCATGTAATGCTCTGGTTAAATACAAACAAAAAAGCCCCCAAAAAACATACTGCCTCAGGCTATCAGGAATAAGTTTGTTCTCACAAGACACAGAGACTGTGCGGTGAGAACAGGGGAAAACTCTTAAACCTCAATCCAGTAGAGGCATACTAGATGAAAGTTTTCATCTAAGCGTTGTCCACAATTATTAGTTCTGTATATCTGGGAGGCTGATTCTATCAGCTTATAAGTGGAAAATGACGACAACTAAGTGGACTCTCCATACTCTGCCTACTGGCAAAACACCAGTGCTGGATAAACAGCTTCTTGTTCACAGACCGCTAAGTATGGGACCTATATAAATATTCAACAGCATACATAACATATCTTCTCAAAACGCCAAAGAGAAGAATCTGTGATAATTTACATTGGGAAACAGACGAAATGTAGAAAGTATTTTCTGTATGTCTTCAGTAAGATACAACAAAATTAAGTTTCTGTGAAACATCTTTTCATAAGGAAAGATGATCAGTTAAGAACACTAGGAAGGAATAAACACACAAGAAACATATGCAGACTAAGATACAGATGGAACCCTAAGAGATAAGGAAAAAGGAAAGAATATAAAGAACAAAATTAAAATCCACTTTCGAGATGAGAAAGAACAAAGTCAATACTGCAGAAAGACATATCAGTAACACAGAAGATGAAAACAAAAATGTTCCCCAAGAATGCGAAAGGAAGAAGTTAAAAATTAAGACGGAGGACAAGTATAAAAAAGAAATGTGATCCAATCCATAAATAATGGGTATTTCTTTCAAAAAGAAACAGCATAACATATGGTATAGAAACAATAACCAAAGGTATAACAGAACAGCTAACCCCAAATAAAAAGCACCCACTTCTCCACATCAAAAGGATTTTCCCGTCTCAGTCAAAATTAAAAGACACCAGAATAATGTTCAGAGAATTTTAAAGGAAAAAGCTGGGACACACGAAAACCATACTGAGCCATGCTGTCATTAAAACATTCAGGAACAAAAAAGCCATTTTCAGATATTCCAGGGTTCAGAAAAGTAACCCCCAAGTATATCTCCTGAAAAATAGTACCTGAAAACAAATTTGAGGCAACCTAAAAAGAGAATAAAAATTGGAACTCAAGAAAGGATATCAAAGTGTCATATAAAGAGATTAGTGGTGGTACTCCATACCAAATTAATATGTACAGGTGAAACTGCTCTACCGAAACTGAACACATAAGCTAAAACTTTTTGAAAGAGATGATATACAGTTTAAAACATTCAACATTTATAAGTTAAAGATTAACTTGGGGAGCTGAGAGCATTAAAAAGCTAAAATAAGCTAAATTCCTTGTGTTATAGAAAAGAAAATAATACTTTTTGTTTTTGAATGTTATAATTACAACTACATTTCTGTACAGATGCTTTTAAAAATGATTTCTGTATCTATGCTTTTAAAAAAATAAAATACATAAAACAAGGTCTATGCCGTACAAAACAAAAACCAAAGGAAAGCATAAAATAAAATTATTAAAAAGTGTAAAATTAAAGGAGTAAAAATCAAACACATCAATTATAACAAACTTTTATTGTTTAAAATCTCCCTATTAGAAAGATACTCAGATGGGGTTAAAAAAATGAAGTGACATAAAAAGGATTAAAAACGGTGACAGGCAATGAATGATTATTGAGGAAATAGTCAAACTAAAAGGAAACAGGAATAACAATTTTGACATGGGACAAGAAGTAGGATTCAAGAAGAAAAAGAAATAAAGGGTCTCTTTAGATTGATAAAAAGATATCTACAGTGCAACTCAAATACTGTCTAGGTCTACAGCTGTTCGTTATAGGTCTGCAACAAGACAAGTATAAAACTTGAAAGTAAGCATTTAGATAATCTAAAAGGGGAATTCTATACCTGTTTAATATAATAATAAAAAAGGAAGCTTGTATTCCGCTTGTTGGTTTTTCTTTTTCATTTCACTTTTCCAGTAACTGACTTTTTTTTTTTTTTGCTGAGAAAGATTACCCCTAAGCTAACATCTGTGCCAATGTTCCTCCACTTTTTTTTTTAAAGATTTTATTATTTTTTCCCTTTTTCTCCCCAAAGCCCCCCAGTACATAGTTGTAATTCTTTGTTGTGGGTCCATCTAGTTGTGGCATGTGGGACGCTGCCTCAGAGTGGTTTGATGAGCAGTCCCATGTCCGCGCCCAGGATTCGAACCAATGAAACACTGGGCCGCCTGCAGTGGAGCACGCGAACTTAACCACTCGGCCATGGGGCCAGCCCCTCCTCGACTTCTTATATGGGGGTCACCACCAAAGCATGGTTGATGAGTGGTGTAGGTCTGCACCAGAGATCTGAACCTGCAAACCTGGGTTGCTGAAGCAGAACATACTGAACTTAACCATTATGCCACAGGGCCAGACCCCACTTTTAATATATTTTAAAGTATCAGAAAAAATATTGATGCTCCACCACGAATAGTCTGAAAAGCACTGCTATAAAAGACATATCAGTTATGAAACTTTAGAGATGTAAAGAAAAAGTGAAGAACAAAATGGAAGTGGGAAACAAGCCCATTTCATGACAGATGAGATATAAAAATAAGTATATAGAGGATGAAAACAAATTACAAAGTGTCATATTTTCTTTAGAAACTCATCTATTATAAGATGTCCCATCAATTTAATATCAGCTGTCCAGGAGGGAAAATTTATGTATTTATGTGTATTAAATGTACACATTGTGAGATGTCAACATCAGAAATGTTAATTTTTTAAAAAGGATTAATCAAGGAAATGATAGTAAGTCAACAATTTGGTATAAATAAACAGAAAACTTTAATTATCAATGAAACATTTATAAAGATACTGATGATATAATAGACGCTAAAGAACACCTCAATAACTTTAAAAAATAAAAACTACATAAAGCATGGCAAAAATTGGTTTTCAACCATTCCCCACGATAAACCATTTTAAGATTTCTGTTTATTTTTGCTTTTTTGATGCTGCTGGCAAAATTACATATGAAGAAAGGGTCTACCTACTTTAAAAACTTTTGAAAACTCTACTAAATGACTCAAAACATACTCATCTGTCCAGCCTCTCAGTTTTCTAATTCCCTTTTCATATAGAAGTCCAGGGAAGAAGTCAAAGTATTTCATAATGTCAGATAATACACAGGAGCAGATGCCTCTGCTCCCCTTTCCTAGCTCCCCTCTATCTTATTAAAAATGCAGGATATTATTTGGGTAGTGGGTGGCATTATTGCTTTCTTAAAAAAGTCACTGTCTGTCTTTCTTCTACGGGGCCCACTGGGTAAATGCTTGCCTGATCTAGCCACCCTAATAAATAATAAAGGCTAGCTGCATAGGTAAAGGGTTATATATGAGTTAGAGCATTGCCTGAACCACTACAACTATATATGTGTTGTACACATTACTCACACACACACAAACTGAAGTAGATGAGAATCAAAGCAACATTATTAACGATGGATCCTAAGTGAAACAAAGTATTTTCCATCTATGCTACAACAGTCTATCTAAAAACAGCTCTCCAAAGGATGATCCTACTTCTTGGATTGGTCTGTCAAAAGGAGTGGTCTCATGACAGAACCAAACCTAGAAGAGAAAAAAGTAAATCAAAGATAGGATCCTTTTGAAACTGTTCATTTTAAGTCACAGAGTTTTAAAAGGTAAGTTCTCTAAATAAGATGTGATAAAGTTGGGATCTTTTTGTTCCATTCGTGTGCCTAATATTTAAACCTAACTTCAACTAAACATGATCTAAAAGCCTCACTTAAGATATAAAAGTTCTTTATAAAGATGAAAGAAAATTAAATAAAAGGTATTTACCATAAGGATAAACAAACTGAGAAAAATATTCGCAATTCACCTCAGAGGGAAACCAATTCCTAATATATGAAGAGCTCCTTGGAATTAATAAGCAAAAGACCAAGACTTTCAACAGGAAAGTAGGTTAAAAAAAAAATTAAAGACAAACAAGTAGTACACGGAGAAGGAAATACAAATGGCTCTCAAGCATATAGAAAGGCACTTGATATCACTCAAAATAAAAGAAATACAATTTAAAACTACACTGAGATCCATGTTTTTACCTGTCAAATTGGCAAAGATCAAAACATTTGAGAACACAATCTTGGTGAAGACATGAAAAAAGTCTCATATTGCTGGTGGGAGTACAGATCGAAACAACCTCTGTATCACAGTTTTTCTCACTCAACGAAATCCTCGTAGGACATTTAAAAATTGTAGAACACAAGACATATTCAGCCCAGTATGGGCTGTTGGTGATTTTCAAAAAATTGTTATAATTGTCAGCTTTTATAGAATTTTGTTCACATAATGAAGCAGATAGGTGGGCAAGTTTAAGAAACCTGGATGATGAACACAGCACTCTGGCTCCATCTGCTGCTCATCCCATGATACCTCATTGTGCTCTTAGTAGGTGCTCAATAAATATTTGTTGTGTGAATGGGACCAGGAATGATGCTAAGGGATGATGAGAATGGAATAAAACAAGAACAAGGAATTAACTAAATTTATCTGAATTGTTGAATACACTGCTTACATAAACAGTACACTTTTTTAAGATCAGGGCACCATCACTCTGGCAAATGTTTCCAGAAAAATGAGGCAGCCAGCAAGAGTGGTATAGTAGACTGTTGCAGTAATGGCCCACTCATGAGTCACACACTCTTAGGAAACCCCTCCCCACACTGACTCTGGGGTTGGCCACATGATTTGCTTTGGTTCATGGGAAAACAGAAAATATATGGGGCTTGCCTTCACTTGCTGTTCCTGTAACCGCTACTAGTGCCCCCAGGTGAAGGCTAGTCAGCTAGAGACACAAGGCCCTCCACCACCCCAGCCAACAGCCAGCCCCAGAATCCAGACATATGAGTGAAGACATCCTAGACCAATCAGCTTCTAGCTGACAACTTATCAGCTGATTGCAGCCCCAGAAGCAAGCCCAGCCAGAAGCAAAAGCAGAACTGCAACTGAGCCCAGCCCAGAATCTTGGGCTAAGAAATGGCTACTGTTTCACATCATCATTAAGTTTTGGGGAGGTTTGTTAGGCAAAGACTAATACAGGTGGAGGCCAGCCCCGGCGGCCTAATGGTTAAGCTCGGCATGCTCAACTTCAGCTGCCCGGGTTCAGTTCCTGGCACAAATCTACACCAATCATCTGTTAGTGGCCATGCTGTGGCAGCCGCTCACATACAAAAAGAGGAAGACTGGCAACGGACATTAGCTTAGGTGAATCTTCCTCAGCAAAAAGAAAAACAAAAAAACTGATGCAAGTTGGGAGGGGAACAGGATTGGTGGACAAGGAAAATTTTTGCTTTACTTGTTTCTGTTTTTTAAATTTCATAAGAATACATTCATATACTACTTGTTTAATTAAACTAAACTTATAAAAATATTTTATATCAGATTGATAGTAAAGTCCTATCACCTTATAAACATACACATGAAACAAAACAATTCAGTCCAAATGGGAAGATGAATTTGAGAGGAGACATTAATATTACTCAGAAACAAATGGGTCAGTAAAGAGTACCAAGGTATACTATCACAAAAAAATAGTGAATAAGAATATATTCACGGTCACTGCCACACCTCAATAACGGCTAATCTCAAATTCTGGAAGTGTCAGGAAGCATACATCTCATATTTTGCTTTCTCTGTTTAGGCAGGTAATGGCCTAACACATGTTCCTTCATTTTAATCTTCACATGCTAAGAGATAAACATATGCTGAATAACTTCAGGCAAAAGTTAATTGACCTCTCCATGCCTTATTTCCTCAACTGTAAAATGGAGATAATAATACCTATTTTATACCATTGTTGTGAAGATTAAATCACTCAGAACAGGGTACAAAGCAAGGGCTCAATAAACGGTCTATCACCTGTTAGTAAACGATATCAAATTAAGGTCTTTTGACTAACCTGGCTTCTATTTTAAAATCACTAAGCATCATCAACCAAGGTATGAATCATCAAAATTAATTTGAAAATTTTTCTAATGACTTCATGAAAAAAATTAAAAGACAATGTTACTAAAAACCAAAATAAAACAAAACAAAACCTGGGAATATATGTAGGAAAAATATGGTGAAGAGCATCAAAACTCCTGGCAATAATGAATTCATTTGGTCCACATTCCACAATCTCAAATAAGTTTAAAAACCAAAGGTTTCAATTTTTGTGTGTGTTACAACTTCACAAAAGGCAAAAACAAGAAGAGAGCAGTAAATCCTACCATCATCTTTATTGTGATCTCTGGTGCACATACTTTCAACACGTTCTACCATCATTTTAAAAAAAGAAGGCACTACTGATGGCTTTGGAAAATGAAGCTTTCACAAGAAATACACTTAACCTAATCCGCAGCACTGGAAAACTGTAGTTACTCCTTGATCGATGACTTAACACTGCCCTTTTTCAAGGAAAGATCAGGCCTGTCTACATATATATACACACACATCAACAGTTAAAGAAGAAAACTCAGGCCTGAGTGGGGTACTTATAAAAAAAGTCAATTTTTTAAAATGTGTTCTTAAACAGGTAATTACCTAGCCTGTAGACATGAGTCAGGGACCGACTATAAACAGCCTTATACCACAATGTGCAGGTATTTATACTATTGTGAGGAACAAATAAATCCTACAAAAATGGAATTTTCATTTGAACTCAATTCAAATATTTTAAAGAGTACTTAGCATTCATGAAGTAATGTGGCAGACTGTGGAGTCAGAAGGGCAAGGAAAGTAACATTTATGTTACTATATAAGCCAGACATTTGTATTTAACCATAATAATCCAATGAGGTGGAAATTATTAAAACTCATTTTACAGAGGAGGAAATTAAAGCTCATAGAAGTAAAATAACTTGCCCAGGGTCTCTCAGCAGCAGAAAGCAGTGTGAAGGGTATGGGGGGGGAGGGAGGGGAAGGCATAGGAGGGTAGCACCATGTGACTATTACACCCACAGACAAACACAACACCCAGTGTCAGTCCTTTATCAGCAATGTGAAAGGAGGCCAGGACTATGGGAAACCAAAGAGATGATCTTTTGGAAATGGGCAAAGGGTCACAGCTGGCTTTAAAGAGATTGCTATTTGAGTTGTTACTTCAAGGATGAGTAGGATTTATCAATTTCAATGCCAAGGCTCACCCCCACCCCCCTCATCCCCAATATATTAACCAAAATAAATTACTTACTTGAAATTGAGAAAAACAATTTTGAGAGAAATCTTCCTCAGATATATTATTCCATAGTTTTAAAACAAATAATATGATGACAGTTTAATTTTTAGGTTGCTTTTATGTGGCTTGTCTTGGTTTTTATTCTGAAATGAAATTTAGATTAGTCATTTTCTTGTTCTGAGAAACTAGGAGTATGCCAACATGTTTTAATTTCACATTTTTTCACATATCAACATGTATTCTTACTTACAAACTCTTTCGTTTCACCATCTCAAACAAAACCTAATTTAATATATAAATTACTTTGAAGTGTAAATATATATACAAAATAAGATATTTCTTTTAATTCTTGTTATACTTCCTTGGAAATTGTAATAAATGGAAGAAAAATAGAAAACTCTTGTTATACTATTATATACTACACAAGCATTTTTGAGGTAACACGCTTTCCTTTATTATTTGAATCGTTTATATAGTAAACGTTCTCTCAACCCAAAGAAAATTAAATAACTGCCCCCAAGAAAATTGACCTCAAATTCTTAGTAATTCCCACAACTATCATCTAAAAAAGAAAACAGAATTGGACCCAAAAAACCCCTAAGTTTTCCAATGGCAATTACTCCCCTTTTTTCTCAGAATTTACTCTGCTAGGCATATACTCAATTTCTGCTGCAGAAAACAGTCCAGTTTGCCAATACTAATTAAGCAACAAAATATTTTTCATTTAAAAAAAATGAAATATTTAAAAATCTACAGAGAACTAGAAGAAACACAAAAGATCATCTGGAAAACTTGAAAAGAATGACCAAGAAAAATCCCCAAAAAATCTCCACACACCAAAAGGTTAAATAGACTGTCATTAAGAGGGTTTTACTTTTACTGTAACTAGTGTTTGTCTCAAAAACGCATCCACTTTATGTTTGGACAGTGGAGCTTCCTTTAAATTGCCTAAAACACCTATTCCCGCCTTAGCTGTATCTTACCTGGAAACCATAAGTTAACACAATTTTACCCAAAGTTTACTGTACCTGAACTCCCATTATTTCCTCTTTTATTTAGTATCACTGTGGTGTCAGAATGGCAGCCAGGTATCAAAATGACATACACCATACCATATCCCTTACCTAAAAAAGTTTCTAAGTATTTCTTTGAAATATCTAGGGCTAATGGCAACATTCTTTGAAGCCTGTTTAACTCCAACCTACTTTTTCACTCATGTTATTTTTAATTGAACAAATTCTAATCCAATCAAAAGCCAGGTGAGAGAAAATTTCACTACAGCACAGGAACTTGAAACGTCTCCTGATACATTTCCCTTTTCTTTGAAAAACTGTACACATACAATTCTAGTACCAATTTTTGTTTACATCCATCCTAAATTCCTCTTGCTATAGTCTAACCTTTATTTATTCTTCTTTTTTTTAAAGGAGATAGGTACAATCATCTCAAAACAAATCCTACTACAACCTATTCTACAGGAAGATTCTAAGCACTATTGGACACAGGAGGCCCTCAAAGATTTCTAAACTGTGTACATGCAGTTCTTTTAATAATTCTTCTAAGGTTCTGTATATTCATCTTTCATCAATGCCTTCTTCCAATTTTCCCTCAGGTTTGGAGTACCAGTGGGAGGCAGTGAGAACTGAGAGTCAAGACCCCCAGTTTTCAGACCAAGCCCCAGACCCAAAACTATAGGACGCTGGACAAATCCCTGAGCTTACCTACCTAGATTGCAGTTTTCTTTATATAAAATGAGAGGATTTGACCAGAACAGTGTTTCCCAACCTTTTTCACATTGTAAATAATATTTGCTCAGCACACTGGCCAACAGGAGGGCATTTGGAGGCATCGACATGGTGCTTGGTGAAAAAAATTTATCACATTTTCTTTATATAATTATAGATGAAAAATTAAAATTTAAATGAAGTTTGTAATAATATGAATGAATCTCAAATCCAACTTTTTCCACATCAGGAACAATATTTCAAAATAACAATGATGCTTTATTTTTGCAGAACATACATGCACTATTTAGGCAGTCACCTTGCAGCAAGCTAAATGGCACATTAGATGCACATGGCTAGGAGGATCCCACACAGGCGAATACAGAAATTCAGGCCTAGACTGGGGCTCCAAAAGGCAACATCCCTGCTACCCTGTCCTCTCATCTTCAGTGGGCTGCCCCGTGCTCTGGGTGACATGCTCCTCAGGCACGTGGAATACTACAAACTCCAATAGCAGCTCCATCATCCCCCTTCTCCACGAGAGGCAGCCACACACTCTGTAGCTGGCTGGAGCAGATTCCAAATAGTAAAGCACCTCCTTCAAACATCAAAAGCAGCAGTAACCGCTGGTTGTTGCTCATCATGCTATCCGCTTACAGGAACCCCACAGCCTTCCTTCAGACCTCACTCCACTAAAGCCACTCTCCCTGTGTTAGTGAGCCACATAACATCAACTGGAGGCTCTGAATGGGAAGACCTCTAGCAAAAACTAAAATAAACAGTATTGCAGTAACCATTTGACAACTGTTTACAATTACTATGGACTTTTATTTTCGTTCTTCCTTACCAATTCCTGTAAGCACAACTTTAAAAAATCAACTCTGAATAGATATTACATGCACATGGTAAAAAAATAATACTCAAAAATTACCAAACTGTATTAAAAAAAATTTAGTCTCCCACCTTTGTCCTCTAGGCCACCAGTTCCCCTTACTGGAGGGAACCATCGTTATCAAACTCTCATAGCCTTTCAGATACATACACACATATTTTAAACCACAGATGGCAGCATACTATACATGGAGTCCTGCATCTTGCTTTTTTCCTCTTAATAGATCTCAGACATGCACCATAGCAGTACACACAGTGTTCCCTCATTATTTTTAAGGTCTGCCTAATGTTCCATTGAATAGATGATGCCATAATTTACTTATCCACTTCCCTACTAGCTTATGTTTAGGTTGTTTCCAATCTTTTGCAATGACAAATACTGCCACAAATATTCTTACATGTTCATTTGAAACATACATAAAATCTTTTAGAAGATAAAATCCTTGAATGAAATTGCTAGATCAAAATATATGTGCATTTTTAATTTTGAAAATGATTTCCAAATCGCTTTCCATAGAAAATGAACACTTTATATTCCCACCAGCAATGTATGAGAATGCCCATTTCCCCTTTCTCTCATTCTCCCCAAGTTATACTATGTAATCAATCTTTCCTAATTTGATAGGTGATAAATGGTTTGTTGTAGCTTTAATTTACATCTTCATTATAAATAAAGTTGCACATCTTTTCATATGAATTCTCTTTGCTCATTTTTTCTACTGGATTATTTTCTGGGAGCTCTTTGCATATTAAGAGAAAATTAGTCCTTTGAGAAAAACGTACAAATAAGATTTACTAGTCTGTTTCTCTTTTAACTTTATGATTTTCTTCTCTAAACGGAATTTTATTTTCATGTTGTAAAATTCAGCAATCTGGCTTCAGTTGTTTGATGCTTTGAAAGGTCTTTGCCATTCCTAGATTTATATTAAAAATAATTATCCTACTTTTTTAAGGTTTTTTTTTGGTGAGGAAGATTGGCCCTGAACTAACATCTGTTGCCAATCTTCCTTTTTTTTTTCTCCCCAAAGCCCCAGGACATAGTTGTATCTCCTAGTTGCAAGTCATTCTACTTCTTCTATGTGAGATGCCACCACAGCACTGCTTGATGAGCAGTGTGTAGGTCTGTGCCCAGGATCCCAACTGGTGAACCCTGGGCCACTGAAGCAGAGTGTGCAAACTTAACCACTTGGCCACGGGGCTGGCCCCAATTATCCTTCATTTTTTGTTTTTACATTTAAATCTTTGAGTCAGCTGGAAGCCAACTTTTTATTTTTCCAGATGACTAACTGGCTGTCTCAACACTGTTTATTAAATAATTCTTCTTTTCCCTACTGATAGGTAAAGGTAGCATCCATTACCATATACTAAGTTCTTATACATATTTGAGTCAGTTTCTGGCCTTTGCTCTGTTTCATTGCTGTCATGTGCCAAAACCACGCTACTTGTCAAAGCATTTTAATATTAAAATCAGTTTACATATAAATTGGTATAATAAAACCAGAAATTACTGGCTTGCTTCAATATAAAAATCATTTTGCAGTTCCTAAATTGAATTTATATAATCAAGTTCAACACTATTAACATGCAATCATGCATTTTGGTTGACTTATTTTGGAGCTCAATATGAACCCCAAATCTTTTTTACAGTATTTCTGAACCATATCTAGAAAGCCAATTTTTCCTTAATTTGGTACATGAATAGTTTTTAATTATAAAATCAATACAGTTCTCTGTAGAAAATCTGAAAAATACAAAAAACACCTCCCAGAGATAACCAACCTTTACATTTTGGTAATTCCTTTCTGCATTCTTAATAAATAACTATTCATAAACTGATTTTTTTCACATACTATATTGACAGCATTTATCCATATTATTTTATATTCTCCTAAAACATAATTTTAATGACAAATTCTACTATATGAATATGCCCAATTTATGCAACCAATTCCCCACTGTTGGATATCTGGGGTTGTTCTCTGTGACGACTATCATCTACTGAATAATTCTTGCAACAAATGCTTGAGTTTCAAGCACTGTAGTAAGCACTGACTCCACAATGGTGAGCAAAAATGAACACATTACCAGCATTTATGGAGGTTATCGGGAAAAACAGACATGGATCTCCAACATATATAAAATTACAACTATAGCAGGTGTTATGAAGCAGAGTTTATGGAACTTTGAGAGTCTATGATAGGGAAGGCTTCCCTGAGGAAAGATAAATTGGAGTTTAGGTGAAGGAAAAGGAAAAACATTCTAGGCAGAGGGAACAGCAGGTACAAAGGCCTCATTGTGGGAGGGAGCATGGCAAGAATAAGGGACTGAAATAAGGCCAATATGGCTGGAACACAAAGAGCAAGGCAAGAAGAACATGGCTCAAGCCATGACTGGATAGAAAGGTAGGGGCCAGACTATGCAAGACCTTGTAAGATATGTAGACGCCACCACATAAGACATGTAGCTTTGTCCTTATCCTAAATGCAAGGGAAAGCTACTGAAGCATCTCAAGTAGTAGGTGATATAATCAGGTTTGCATTTTGAAAAGATCCCTCTGATTACAGTGTAGAAAACAGAGTAGAAGGGAACAGAGTGGACTGGGGTAGGCCAAGATTAGGAGGCTACTGTAAACGCATCCAAAAATGCCAGTACGTTAGACTAAGGTGGTGATGGATAATGACAAGAAGTAGATGGGTTCAAAAGATAATTCAGATTTTGCCAAAAGATTTATATTCATAGATTAAAATCCCTAAAACTAGAATTATGGGGTCAAAAAAGAACATTTCAAGGATTCTGATATGCATTGCCAAGCTGCCCTGCCAAGAGCAGTTTTCTCTTCATTTGTGAATTACCTTGTATCTGTTCCTCTATCAGAATTTTTAAATTTTAAAATTCCTTTAAAATGACTTAATCCATACTTCCTTCATGAAGCCTTCCCTGACTCACTCCCCTGTCTGCCTGCTAGGTGCTCACTGAACGTGTCCTTCTTTGAGTTTTCACTTTGTCTTATACCCATTTCTATTATACTCCAATCAAGCTTTGTTCGACTTACATGTCTATCGTCCCTACTACACTGTGAGCTTCTGGAGGGTAGAAGGTGTTCATACTGATGGTACCTAACAAAGTCTCTCAATACACATAGTACGTTCTCATTAAGCGTTCACTGAATGAACTGAATCACGTATTACCAGATTCTACTGTGTCCAAAGACTCTAAGAGAGCTACTGCTTACGCCTCTGATTTCCTGATTGTGATTTTAAATCAAACACAATACAGAAAACTAATAAAATTTGCTACTCAGGGCTTCAAATACCTACTAAATAAAGTGACTAGTTTTGTTTGTGGTAAATCACTAAATCTCAGTAGTGTTCCTCAAAAATCTACTAATTATATCAAATAGGTATTACGTGATCTTAAAATATTTTTAAGTGGTTTAGCAAGAAAGGGGCTATGAACAAACAAGATTTTTATTAGAGAAATTATTTGTAACCTGAGTATTTGATAAATGCTAGTTTTCAAAACTGTACTCATCTCAAACATTTAATAACCCACCAATTTATTTAAAAAAATGAAGTTATTAAGCAACTACATAAATTTATACAGCATTTCAGAATTGTCTCTCATGTGAAAAACTTGATTTCATGTTTCACAGTCAGCATCTAGAACAGTCTACTAAAATTTTCACTAGCTGGAGGAAGACTCAGAGCGGGGATTGGCAGAGTTCCTTACAGTAATCTGAAAGACAAGCAGCTCCCTCTATAGTCTGTTTGGCCTACTTTGTTTAATTACTTGCTTTGTGAACATCTCACTCACACTCTTCTATTCATTCCTACTCTGCGTCTCAGCAGGGAAGCTTTTCGAAAGAATAATTCTGTTGAACCCTGTGCTGAGAAGACTGAGAGAGCTGTCTAAGCTCAACATGAAGTGAGTCACATCAAGCAACTAAGCAAGAGTTGGGATGTGGACACTGGACAGCTTCCCAGGTCCACCTGAGTCAGGTCCTCACAATGAAGTCTTAGGATTTTATTTAAAGTGAATTCCCACAGCAGTCACACCCATATCCAATCTAAGTGAGAAAAAACACTGTCCCGTACTTTAGTTATTTATAACCTTGCTTCCCTTCATCAAAACAAGTTACCAAAATGTTGTTATACTGCTCAACACATTGCTATATCAAAACAATGTTCAAGATATTTTAAAGATGAGCGAAAGAAAAGCAGAAGCGGCTTTTGTTTTTTTTAAATAATTCTATCACTCGCACAAAGAAAATTTAAGTGAATCTCTCAGAAATCAATATCCTCAGTCAGCAAGGGATTAAATCAGTCAGGATTTACCATTCAAATTTGAATACGCCACTTTTTTAATGCCTTTTCAAATTTCACCAACTTAAGATATGAGAACTTTTAAACCTAACACACCATTTATTTGTTAAATTACTCAAGATATGCTCTTAAAACATAGGACCATCAGAAGTCAACTGGACTGTTTTCTACAGCAGAAAAATACTTTTCATGCTATAACAGAAAAACTGAACTGGTAAAAATGTAATAAACCTATTCAGAATTTATAATATAAATCTGATATGGCCACTTTATTTGGGAGAAAATTTCTTCTGCTACTATTTTTCAGGACCTCATTCATAAAGCAAACTCCGTTTAAAAACATCTTTTCTGCAAACCAAGGTAAAAAATTAAGGACTTCTAAAATTAAATTTATAGTACTTTATGTAACATAGGTTTATCATGTTACAATTTTTCATTTATTTATTTTACTAATTAGTAAATATATAAATATAAATTATACTTTCAAACAATAAAGCTGTCTTCATTAAAAATTCTAGCATTCAGACTTTTATGAAGCCAAATTGATCTCTCTTTTATATTAACTATTTTCAAGTTTTATTTTACTGGGTGGACTGGACTAGTTTTCTTTGAGGAGAGAATTCACAAGCAGATTATTAGACAGTTTCTGTTTATATTTAATTAACGCTAATTTTACTGAGTTTCTGAAGTGCTAAAAATGCTGACTTGATTTCTGAAAGCTGTAAACTCTAAATGTATACCAGTGACTTCCAATTTTTTCACCTGTTGAAGAAACATAAAAACTTTTATGTTTGAAACTGTGAATTATATTTATAGCAAACTCAATTTGATAATCCTTAACAACCTGAAGTTTGGGTTTCACTGTACCAAGTTTATCTTTCAATGTATACACAAAAAGTCTTACTTTTATATTCATTTATATTATACATTTCAAGGCATATAAAAAAAAAGTTTGGGGTTTTTTTTTTTTAAAGGCGGGGCTGGTAATCTATTGTAAGATGTCCAAGAAGGAAGAAGTAATGTTTCTAATCATAGTTCATACGTCTATTTTTTTAAACTGAGAAACACAAAAGTCCATCATATTCTTTATTTTTTAAAGAATATTTTCTCAGGTAGTAGAATTACTACTAGTTCACAGTGCAATTCATTTATTTCCACAAACAAAAGTTTCCTATGAAACAAAGCTTGAAAATCACTCAGCGATACATAGTTAACGACTTGTGTAGAGGAAAAAAAACTGTGTGTAGAAAAGTAAACCAAACCATACAAACTTTAATACTCAAAAATGCCACAGTATATCCTATGAGCATATCGCTTTATAATCTGGAAATCTACTGAACAGAGCCATATCAACGTCACTATCTTTTCCTTTCTCTGCACCTGAAGTGAGAACAAACAGATTATTACACTGAAATTCCAGTTAGAAACAAAGACAGCACCGCTATACTTAAAAGGTCAGAAAAATCTATCCTTCAGAACACTTCATTGCCTTTAATTTCCAGCCTCCAAAGTTTCAAGTGTTACACGTTCAACGAATTGTTAACAGCACTCAAATTCCCCATCTTACAAGGTCCATATCATCAAAATCTTTCCCACTATTTTAAAAAGGAATACTCTACCAAATCTCACTGACGACACTGAAATTTTTAACAAAGAGAATTCACATTAAAAGATAACTGCTTCGAATGAGCGCTTGTGTTTGGGAAAGTAGTGCTATTATCTCGGTAGTCCACAGAAATTGACTAGTAATAAGATGAATGGTGATTAGGGCAAGGAGCATCAAGTGGGAAACGCTGTCTAAAATCCCATAGGGCAATACACAGCTAGAGGCAAGAGCATCCCTTTCTAGGAGGCAGCTCCGTTATTTCACGTAGGCAGTTCAAAGCACGTAGAAACGTAAAACAACTCAAAACATCTCGTAAATTTGGCCACTATCCTATTTACATTATCATAAACCCCCAAAAGCTTCTGAGAAGGTAGCTTGTCACTGCCGTCTCCCCATCTGGCTCGTTCTTCTAAATAGTTCGTTTTAAATATATTATCTGTATACAAATGCAACCCGACAACCCAGCAAAGGGGCATCTTTTAATGCTTGTGTTGCTGAGTTGAGCTGTAGTCCGCAAGAAATTCACGCTATTAAGTGGGGTGTTCTACGTTGGGCAACATAAACACGCATTTCCTCCTTCCACGGATGCACATTTCCCTGAGAGCACCGCACCTGAGGATGCTGCCCTGTCCCCAGACTCTGGGGCTACAAACTCGAAGGAGTCACGACCTGCGCTCCCAGCAGAACCACATGGTCACTTCAATGAGAACGATTCTCTGGCCCCAGGCGCCACGCTTCAGCCCACCGCCTCTCCGGAAGGGGCAGAGGAGAGCGCTGCTGAGAAGCGGCGAGGAGGAGCGACTGACAACAGAGCTGACACTTCCCCTCTCCTCCCCGAGCCATTTCCAGAAAGGGGCACTTGGGAGACGCAGGGGATGTCCGCGGTCCCACCGGCGGCCGACCTGAGAGCGGGACCCGGCGAACCCGTCCCCCCCAGACATGGCGCGGTCACCTGGCCCCTCCTGCGGGGCCAGAGCGGAGCTCGCGGCCCCTACCCCGCGCCCCGGAGCGCAGAGCCAGCTCCCGGCCGCCGCACGCAGTGTAAACACTCGGCGCCCGCCGCCTCCCCGCAGACCCCCGTTTCTGCGCCGCTTGTCACGCGCGGGAGGAAAGGCGAGCCGGGCGGAGGGAGGGCAGACGCGGCGGCCGGCCGCCGACAGCGCCGGCAGCGTGCGCGCGCCGGGGACGGCACCCCGGCGCCCCCGGCTCCCGCTCCCGCCCCGCGCCCGCTTACCTGCCGGGGTCGCTCCGAAGACTCGCACCACCGGCACCTTCTTGACAGGGGCCTGGGTGACGGGGGATTGGCAGATATCCAGCCCCTGCAGCGGGCTGGCCATGTAGTAGTCGGCAGTCACTATCCGCACTGAGAACATGTTCGCCGCCGCCGCCACCGCCTCCTCTTCACTAGCGACCTGGCAGCGGCAGCAGCGGCGGCGGCGGCTCCTTCCGCAGCGGCAGCCCCACAGCAACGGCGGCGGCGGCGCCCCCTCCCCTCCTCGGCGCGGCCCCCTCCCCTCACACACACACACACACACCGCGAGCCGCGGCGGCGGCGGGCGGGGTTGGCACTGCTGCCGCCGCCTCCTCAGGAGCACCCGGCGAGGGGCAACAGGAGAGACGCCGTCGCGCTTTCGTCGGTGCTGGTGCTGCCGCCACCGCCGGGAATCACACGGGCTCCTCGGTCCCAGGCTGCAGCTCTTGTTGCCATGATGATGATGTCACGGACGCAACCACTGGGGGAGGGGAGGCCGGGCTTGTGTGTGGCGAAGGGAGGGCTGCGAGTAGTTGGGGGAGGGGACGCGGCGGGAAAGGGAGGGAGCGGGGCGCGCGCCCGAGCGGGACACCCAGGCGGGGCCGGGTGTTTTCTTTCCCGCCCCCGGGCACGCGGCGGGGGAGGAGGCTGGCGGAAGGCTGGGCCGGCGCCCGCGCCGGGGATCGATGACTCGGCCGCTGGGCACGGCCACCTGGGTCAGGGGCAGCGGAGGGGGCGGCGGAGCGCCGATGCCACGGATGGGTTTGGAGGGGCTTGCAGGAGGCGGGCACCCGTGTTCAGGGCCGTTTCGGAGGCTAAGCGGGACCAGCCGGAGCTGCGGTGCTCGCGCTCGCCTTGCCGACCGCCATTTCGCATCCTGCAGAGGAGGCGGGGGCCGCCGCGGAGACGGCTTTTTACAAGGTAAGAAAACCCGCCCGCGGGAGGAGGGAGGCGAGGCGCAGATCTCGTGCCGCCGCGGCCTCGCGGGAGGGCGGGCGGGCGGGCGGCGGAACGGGCGGGGCCAGGCGGACGCAGCCGGCCCTTCTCAGGTAACGCGGCGGCTCCGCGCGTGGCCTGAGGGCGGCGCGAGGGGCGGGGGCGCGCGAGCGCGGGCTCCGGCCTATAAAAGGGCCGCCCTGACGCTCCCTCTCGAACGTGCGGCGAGAGCCGCCGCGCCCCCTCTTCTTGCGCGCTGCTGCAGTGTGTGCGCGCGGCCACTTAATGAGATTTATTCACGCTCGGCTCTGCTCGGCTTTGCCAGGAGTTGGCAGAGCCGGTGCACAGGGATTTCCCACCGCGGTGTTCTTCTCCCGCCCCTTCCCTTGCCTCTCGCCCTAGCATACCCTTCCTTGGTTTCCTTTTCGGGCCCGCAGGCTGCGTCTCGGGCGCGCGCGTGGACATGTAGGGACTTGTCAGCTCGCGGTGACCGCTCTGCTCCCCGCCCTCCCCCTGCGGAATGTAGGATTAAGAGCCTTTCAGAGAAATTTTCGGCCAAAGAAAAAGGCCCGTGAAAGTCGCCGCGGTAGATGTGGACTCCCAGTGCTATTCATTAACAGGTTGTGCGAGGTTTTACTACCCGATGGCGTAAAAGCAAAAAGGGGAGGGGAAGGACCGTGAACAAAACAACTTTATCCAAAAAGAGCAGGGCAAATAGGGGTGCAGTTGAGAAATCGGAAAAAAAAAAACAAAACAGTGGTAACAGATGCAGCTGGATTGGCCATTACACTGGAACCGATGGGTTTTTGTCTGACTTGGTCACTAATATTGGGCGTGAACTTGGACCAATAATTTGTGGGGTTTTTGAGCCTATTTCCTCGTCTGTGAAAGGAGAGAGCATCAATTAAAAATCCGTAAGGGTTTCTTTCCAACATAAAGATTTACGCAGTAGGAGGCAGAAACCATGATTTCAAGTTCGAAATACACCGCTGAATTAGGACTTTTGACAGTCGTTTCAATCTACCCAAATTAGGGCTGATTCTTTCAGGCTTGTATATTATACGGGTGTTTTAATGGTGGTTAGGTTGCCATATATTTGAAGTGGTGTGAGAGATCCTCATTTGGAACCATTGTGATTCTTCAAATAGAAAAATCAAAAGGCTCGAAGGGACAGATCATGGTAAGAAGCTGTCTATAAATTCCATAGCATATAATGCTAATAAGAATTTATGCTCCAAGGGGTTTGAGACTGACTACCACAGTAAATGAGCCTGCAGAGCGTGATTATAAACATAGGTGGCAAGATTTGTACTAATACGCAGAAAATTACCTAATAATATTTTTAAGAGGCAAAATCTCTTCAATTGATTTAAGTTTTAGAAGGCTATGGAAGTGCTTTAAAAATAGGACTGCCATGCTAAAATGCATCTTCTGGTAATTAAATATTTTGTACAAGCTGAATGTCAGATACACAATACCAGTGATTCTCATAGAATTCTATGGCACTACAGCGTTCTTTAAAATTTAACAGTTTAGGGGGATGGGGCCTGGAAATTTGTATTGTTGGCAACCCCACCCACCACTCTCATAATTCTTAAGTAATATAAATTGAGAATCCCTGTACTATATTATAATCAAGCACATCCATAATATTTAACTTATACTATTCCTAACTAGAAAAAGGTAAAAGCATTGAATTCACAGATTATCTCTTTCCAGAAAAAGGTCTTTCCTCCCATCTCTTGAACAACATCACTTACTTTAAGAAAATGCAATTGCAACCACAATTCAGATCCTTCTAGAATTCCAAAGAAAGAATGTTTCCTCTTGAAGAAAAGCATTTGCAGCGTGAAATTAGGATATTGTGTCCATCGCACATAATGGAGTTTAAGTTCATGCTCGAATTGAAAACCTGACAGTTCCCCCCTAACTAATCACTATCAAATGTGTGTTATAAATATGTTCTACAGAGGAAAGAAAGAACTCTGGAATCTTGAGTCAGAGAATGAAAATTTTAAACCAGCATTTACTAGCTAAACAAGTTTGGACAGCTCACTTTATTTTTTTGGAGTTTATTTCCTCATCTCTGAAATGGGTAGTAATTCCTTTTTTAACCACTCAGTGATGTTATAAGGCTCAAATGAGATAATGTATGTGAAAATATCGTAATAAACTGTTGACATGCAGAAGTTTAACTCATCTAAAATCAGTAAAATTGTTTGGAATTGTCTTATCTACATACAATGTGAGAAATGCCAAAATTAAACTCTATATTTAATATCCTTAAAGCATCTTTTTTTTGTTACTGTTGAGTGGCTTCTATTTGCCAGGTGATTTGAGATATAGTGAGAAACAAAACAGGCATGGTTCCTGCCCATGTGGATTTTATAGTTTAGCATCATAGAAATGCATTTTAGTCATATCAACCCACATTTTATCATTTCTTCTATTTCACTGATGTAGACTCATCATGTCATGCCTTTAGTAAAAGCCTGTCCAGCCTTCTGTACCAATAACGTTCAATGTGTGTTAGCATCTTTTTGTTAGCAATTTATAATCTAGAACGGAAGGCAATGGCTACCATAATTTTTGGGCAGATATTATAAGACAGCTTATGCAACACTCCTCCAGTCTCCTTTCTGCTTGCTTTTCCATACTTTAGAAGCTAGAAAATTAAAAACTACAGTTTCTAGACTCTCTTGCAGCTAGAGTGCTGGCATGAGATGAGTGGTGTGCCAGTAAATATTTAACAATGCCTGGGGGAGAGGAAAGACCCTGATTTGTAGCACTGTCCAGTTTTCATGTTGTGAATGCTCTCAGGCTATCAAAATGACTTCACTTCAAAATGTGGAGTTAGCTGGAGAAGGATGCTAACAATTGCGAGCTGGCTTTAGCATAATCACTATATATGACCTAGTTTCCAGCAATCAGATACACCCATTCAAGACACAAATGTGGAAGTGAGCAACATGATGCCTCAACTGCACTCAGGGAGTTAGGATTTTCTGGCAAACACCATATGGAGGTGTCTGGTTCTTCTGGGTAGCTGGGGAGGAGTTCTGGCATCCATTTTTAGAGTCATAGGTGCTGACTGGCAGGTGGTGCTGGGGTGGGTTTCTGCTAGAATAGCCCTGTGATGTGGAATAACTGTTTTTCCTGGTTTGGTTTTTCCTGTATGTTGTTTCTAACTATGTATTATCAAAGCCTGGTTCTCTGGTCCTCTCAGAGATCTGTGATCTAAATGCTGGCCTTTAATCTAGCTCAGACACACCCAGCAACATAATTTGTGGGGCCCAGAGCAAAATGAAAAATGTAAGTCCCCTTGTTCAAAAAGCAAGAAAAAGTGCCATTATATGTATTAAAATATAAAGCTTTTTCTTTCTTCTGTTATCTTGCCCTCAGCTTGTCATGGTGTTTTATTTGCTTTTTAACATCATTCTAACTAAAGAAAAATTGGAATTTTAAATTATTAGAATGAATTTTACCACTCATCTTTATATTGTACAATGCCATTTATAAATGCAAATATAAGAGCCTTTAACTCATACATGGAATCACCAAAATTACACAATTCATATTTCGTAGCTTGTACATGCATATGTATTTCGTGCTTGTCAGAACAGTGTAAATGCTACAGAAAACCAACTCAACTGTTTTTATTTCCCTTCTTGATAAGCACACATCCTACCAAGCTGAGTAAGGAAGGACTGAAAGGAAAGGGAACTATGGGCTGCCCTACCTTTCCTCTTTCTTCTAGTCATCATTTTCAGTGTAAATGGTATTACAGGGAAGTAAAAATACAAGTAAGAAAGGATATGATAGGGTCCTTTGGTCACTTGTATTTCTTAAGATGCCATTGCCTTCTTTCTGCCCCTAAAGCAAGTTCTGGTTCAAATGCAAAGCATAGCCTCTTGGAACTGTCAGTGCCTCCTCTAAATCAGTCATAGATGTAACATGCTTGCCTTTTCTCACTTTGTGACTCTCTGAGTTCCTACACCTCATGGGTCCACCAGAATCTTGTGCTTATGAGGCATCATGAAGACTGTACGCAAATAGGGTGGCAAGGAAGAAAGGACACACACATTGCCTGCTCAGCTTGCATGTGTAATCCATTGTACCACTGGACTTCATTTATGAAACAGCCATGCAAACATAAAAGTATTACGATTTTCAAAGCGGTGACTGCAGAGCATTAAACCAAACAATGAGACCTGTTTGCACAGTCTGCATGCCCATGAAGTTCACTCTGAGCTCAGTGTTTCTCAAAAGGGCTTCTCCTGGTGTTTCAGGTGAAACACTTCTTCATTGTGCAGGATATTTAACATCCCTGGCCTGTGGGCACTACATGCCACTGTGACAAAACTACCCCTAAAGAGGAGTTACTGCTCTCCACTGAACTCCTAGAGTGGACTCCACTATCTACAGCTAGAAACCATAATCATTGTAGATCCAAGATAGGTCCTGTGCAGCTTTTGCTAGTGATTCTCAAGCAGAGCAAAATACAGAGTTGAGTTTAAAAGATTTCAAATTTCTCATACTTGGGAGAGCAGAATTATTCTTTTTTCCCATTGTCAGAAACATAATGCCAGCTATATTAAGGATGAAACAGTATTTGAGATGAAAGTTTAAAGGTGATTAGTGAGTTTTAGGTGTCACATGCTTATAAATAGTTGACTCCAGATACGTGGCAATTTCTGGTAGTTAAGAAAAAGAGCAGAGGCTGGCCTGGTGGCATAGCGGTTAAGTTCGCATGCTCCACTTCAGCGGCCGGGGGTTGCCGGTTTGGATCCCAGGCCCACACCTACACACTGCTTATCAAGCCATGCTGTGGCAGATGTCCCACGTATAAAATAGAGGAAGATGGGCACAGATGTTAGCTCAGGGCCAGTCTTCCTCAACAAAAAGAGGAGGATTGGCAGCAGATGTTGGCTCAGGGCTAATCTTCCTCAAAAAAAAAAGAAAAATAGCAGAGAACCACAAAAAAG